GGAGGGAAATACGAAAAAGAGAGAAGTTACATGAGAACCAAACACTTTTAACAAATTTTCTTTCTACATTGGAAAGAGTACAAACAGTTATTACAGAACAAAATGAAAAAACGCGTGAAAATATATTAAACCCATTTAAATAATGTTTTTCAATGAACGGTAGTAGTGCAACACTGAATGAACCACTAACGACTAACAAATTGCTTGATATTTTTCTAAAAGCGGCCAATAATAATCAAGACCCTTTAAAAAGAAATAGTTTCGATGACAATCTAAAAAAATTTGCTTTATATATTTTCTATACTGGTGGTAAATTATTATATGAAACACTATTTGCAAACTTAAATGATATTCTACCATCCTTATCGACATTGCATAGATTCAGCTTAAACAACAAAATAACGGTTGAAGAAGGAGAAGTTAATTTGAAAGGACTTAGGATATTTTTGGAGGAACGGAATTTACCTATGGTGGTATGGGAAAATCGAGTATAATTCTCGGACAAACAGTCTACAAGGATTTGTTGCACCTCTCGAGAACGGATTTCCACAAAAAGGCATATTTACTGTAAGATCTTGTGATGATATGGATACCTATTTTAGGGATGGCGTACGAGGTAATTACGCTTACGTAATTATGGCGCAACCTCTGAATTATCTTGCTCCGGCATTTTGTCTGGCAGCTTTTAATACAGACAATAGATTTACTTACAAAACTGTTTTGGAAAGATGGAGAACAATTAAATATCAAGCTTCCGAACTTGGGATTAGGATTCTCGGATTCTCTTCAGATGGAGATACGTGACTTTTGAAATCCATGAAGATAGGAGCATCTTTTACCGATGTTAAAATTAGTAATTCTGATGACAATGCTGAATGTCATTCGAACTGGTACCATATTGATTCCGAAATTAATGACGACTGTTTTATACAAGACCCAATTCATATCATGACTAAACGAAAAACTCGATTTTTAAAATTTGGAGTTTGTTTGCCAATGGGAAATTATTTTGCTACATCTCAACATCTTTATAATCTAATTGATACAGAAAATAAAAGCAAACATTTATTAACAAAATCCGACTTAAAAGCTGAAGATAAAATGAATTATCGGAGTGCTGAAAAAATATGTGACGAGAAAGTAATTAATTTATTGAAAGGTAACACCGAATGCAAAGCTACGGTTTTGTATTAAAAACTTATGAAATATCTCAATGACTCATTAGTTAACAAAGATGACACATTAGACAGTATAGTTCAAAAAATGTGGTATATTACCTTTTTCCTGCGATACTGGAGGAGCTGGTTGAAAAGAAGCGCTGAATATAAGCTGAAAGATAATTTTATTACATGTAATGCCTATACATGTATTGAAATCAATAGCCACATGATCATAAAGATTATTAAACTTTTCCAAAACGACCCCTCCCTAGATCCAAGCATGCTTCTCTTATACCTATTTAATAGCCAGCCTTGCGAAAAATTATTTAGAGCTGCGAGGTCGCTTACATCCACACAGTCTACAGTGGTTAATTTCAGTATTAAAGAGTTGATATCTAGAATCGATAGAATAACATTTGTACAATTTATTATTAATGACTTGAAAGAATATTTCATTTTCCCTAGGGAACATAAGAAGGAACATGACTTCTAT